TCATTAACTGTTTCTGTAATTTTTGCCTCTCCTCCTATTCCTTTAAAAAAAAAAAAATTCACCACCACTCACATGTGCTCTTTTATTTTTAATTATGTACTTATCTGAGTATTTTGTCTTGTAAACATTTTTTTTTTATTATTTCAAACCCTTCTGCGGCAGCCTTTACACGGAACTTGAGGACTACGCATCTCCTCATAGTCTTCTCTTAATTTAACTAGATTTATATCAACATGAAAGGAAGAAATCGGGCCCTGTCTTCAGGGCCCTTAACTATTTTCCAAAATAATTTTGTGGAACCTTGCAATTATAGTTTCAAGCACACCTAAAACCATCTAATCATAGTTTGTTAGTCCAAGAATGCTGAAACTAGAATGGCTGGAATACCTTTATTCTTAAATTCTGGGTTTGTTTTTTTTTTTCATCAGTTATAAATCCAAATTAAATTTAACAAACTGTTTCATTTAAAGATGTAGATGAAGTATTATTTGAGGCTTTACATGGAAGTTATACACTGAAAAGAAAAAGATAACACACTCCTAATTATTACCAGCAGTATTTTTAAGTTTTGGAAAGGTCTGGGCTAGTGTTAATTAATGATGATGAGAATGTTCCAGGAAAAGTAACTACAGTCGGGGGCTGAAATTTGCTACAAGCAAGAAGTTTCAGGAAGGTTTTTCCAAGGAGAAAGAAAGTACTTCAGAAAAAAAAGAAACACAGGAAAACCAATAAGCGTTAGACCAGCAATTATTCTTGGTGAAAACTGACATAACACATTGTGAGCTTAGAGTTGCACTCTTACTCAAATTTATATGTAGACAACCACATTTAAAGATAGAAAAATGTAATTCCACTGGTTTCTTTACATGTCCAGTTCTCACATTATGGATATTCAACATGAATTCTGCTCTGTTTAGTATTCCTTTGACTGTATCACATGGAAACATAAACACAGTATTTTAAATCAAGACATGGATTTCAGTGTTAATGGAAATGAATGGAAATCGATTTTGGAACAAACTGGATCAACAAAATATTTTTAATATTCTCAGGGTATTTCCTTCAGAAAGCTTGTTTGTGAATTCATTCATGGACTTGAATGGAAGACTAACAGTTCCTGGAATACTGATACAAGCAGCTCATAAGGTTAAGATGACAATGAATGTCAAACAAGCACTCCTACGTGAATTTAAAAAACTCAAAACCAAAACCAGATGCTTTTATTCTATATCCAATGTCATCCAGCCATTCTGAGCAGCTCATAACAAAAACTGAGCAGAAACTATTTCAGATAAAGTCAGAAAAGTCTTTCAAGTGAATTCCTAAGTAGCAGTGATTATCAAATAATTTGTTAGAAAGCAAGTCTTCCAGAAGCAAGTGTCTGTGGTTTTTCAGTGAAATTGCAGTACTGTAAAAACAGGTTTAGCTGAAATTAATGAAATACCGACTCTCAAGCCTCAACCATACACAGATTTTTTTTTTTTTAAGTCTCTCTCTGTTCTAAAAACCTATGCAAAGTTCAGAAAAGCAAAACCACAATCAAACAAACCTCAAGCTCAAACATACGATAATGGCAAAAGAATTACAACTAATCACACAGCACAGAAAACATATTTTGTTTCAAATATGACAGCTATTTAGTTTACTAACCTCCCCCAAGATGGTTTCATTAAAAAAAAAAAAGTTTTAATAATTTAAAGGAGATTTGTTACATAAAACAATCCAATATTACCAATTGTCCCCCGATAAATTGGTCTGTTGCTAACTGCAAACAGTACTCTTCTAACTGTAAAAGATTAGAACAAGACCCGATGATAAAACGTAACTGGGTATAACATTAAAAACCCCAAACCCTGCAATTTAAAAAAACAAACAACAACAACAAAAACCAAAGGCACCCCTCCCCCCCCCAAAAAAAACCAAAACCAAAACCTAACAAAAAAAAAACAACGGAAAAGGGGCAAGCAGCTCGCTAAGACCAGAAAGGCAAAAAGTTAAAAATGGGTACATCCTTGGCAGGTTCTATCAGAAACCGGCTGTGTGGCCATTTTTCCTCACTCCCCTTTCTCTTCCCCCCACTTTTCCCTCAGTTTGACGCTCTCGCAAGCCCACGAATGACACACACACCCCCCGGACCTCTGGCAGCCGGGGGCGAGGGGGGCGGGCAGGCAATTTTATGGCTTTCCCTTCGCGCCCGACACTCCGGCCAGAGGCAGCAGCAGGGACAGAGGCAGGGCGCCGGGGCCCTCCCCTCCCCCTGACCCCTGTGGAAGGCAAACGGGGGCGCCGGCTGGCTGGGCCCGAGGGGGCCGGCCCGGGGCCTAGCTAACTTCCCGGAGCCGAAGTTGGCCTGTTTTTCCCGCGGAGAGGTGGCAGGGCGCCCGGCGGGGCCTGCTCCGACAGCAACA